ATTTGATGAAGCCAATAAGACCACATCATCTGCAAAAAGCAGAGCCGTGATCCTAAGGCCACCAAAATCGATCCCCTCAACACCTTGGCTGCACCTAGAAATTCTGTCCATAAAAGTTATGAAAAGAATCGCTGACAAAGGGCAACCTTGGTGGAGTCCAGCACTCACCGGGAATGAGCCCGACTTACTGCCGGCGATGCAGACCAAGCTCTGATTCTGGTCGTACAGGGACCTGACAGCCCGTATCAAAGGGCCTGGTACCACATACTCCCAGAGCACACAGGGCTTCCTGGGGGACATGGTCGAACGCCTTCTCCAAGTCCACAAAGCACATGTAGACTGGTAGGGCAAACTCCCACGCACCCTCCAGGACCCTGCTGAGGGTGTAGAGCTGGTCCAGTGTTCCATGTCCAGGACGAAAACCACACTGTTCTTCCTGAATCCAAGGTTCGACTATCTGACGCACCCTTCTCTCCAGAACCCCTGAATAGACATTACCAGGAGGGCAATCAAATTTCGATTCTGATGATTCTATTCCAGTGAGTTCTGGATCTGCCCCGGGACCTCTTGTCAGTGGGACATGCCAGGAGACATTCTAATCAGCTTTCTGAACCACTGAAACGGACTCCTTTCTAAGTGAAGGAGCAGCAGCTCCAAGCTCCCACGCATATGGCAGCACTCCTCTTCTAATCTTTATGGCTGACCCAGGCCAGCCTATGAAGGAAGCTCATTTTGTGAGCTTGTATCCAGGATCTCGTACCTGGCAGGACATTAAGAACACTTACATTCTTATTAGATTCTTGTTTACAGTGTTGGCCTGGCAAATTATGTCCAAACCATCTCAGTCTGTCCTCTCTAACTTTATCTCCCAGTTGTTCAACCTGTGCTGTACCTCTGATGATCTTATTCCTGATCTTACTCATCCTTGTCACTCCTAAGGAGAACCTCAACATCTTCATTTCTGCTACTTCCAGTTCTTTATCCTGTCTCCAGACCATACAACAGAACTGGTCTCACCACTGTCTTGTAAACTTTTTTTTTTACCTTTGCTGACATCCTTTTGTCACAAATCACTCCTGAAACTTCTCTCCATCCACTCCATCCTGCCTGGACTCTCTTCTTCACCTCTTTACCACACTCCCCATTTTCCTGGACAGTGGACCCCGATTACTTGAAGTCCTGCACCTTTGTGACCTCTGCTCCTTGTAGCCGCTCTGTTCCACCGACCTCCCTCTCATTCACACACATGTAACAAGGCTCAGTCTTAGGACCCACCCTCTTTACAATCTACATAAGTAATGTAGGTCAGAGCATCCCTGATGCATCCTTACGTTTCTATGTTAATGACACAGTTGTTTATTGTCAAGCTAAAACAGTTGCTAAGGGTTTCCAGCTTTCAGCTTGCAGTCTGCATTCAACATAATTCAGTCAGAATTGTTCCGTCTCAAACTGGTGCTGAATGTTGAAAAAAACAAATGGATGTTGGGTTCAAACAAAAAGTTGGTACTAGCAATCCTTTTTTTTTTATTCATGCAAGGTGCTCCTATTGAGTTTGTAGAATCTTACAAATATGTGGGAATCTTGGTCAATGCACATCTCTCTTTTAAGCTGCATGCTGAAAACTTGATAAAGAAACTGAAATTAAAATTGGGTTTCTTTTTCAGAAACAGATCTTGCTTAAAACTCTGAATGTTAGGAAACACCTTGTATCTGTGACTTCCCTTCCCTCCATTAACTACGGTGACATTATTTACATGAACGCTCCTACAAGAACCCTGCAGATGTTGGATGCTGTCTATCATGGTGCATTAAGATTCAAAACTGGCTGTAACTACTGTACCCACCACTGCACCCTGTATTCACTGGTTAACTGGTCATCATTAACTTCATTCAGACTCTCTCACTGGTACATGTTCATCTTTAAATCACTTCTTGTTCTGTTGCCTTCATACATCTCTGCATGAGTGCAGCTACAGCGTGCGCTCTCAGGACATTATTACCTGCAGTGTTCCCTCAGTGTGGACTGACTAACCTGTATAAATAAAGGTTGAATGAATTAATGAAAACGTTTGGACCCTGAGTAATTTAGTTAAATGAGTTTTTAAAAAGCCAGACTATACCAGCGTTTACCCTAAAAAACAATCCCAACTTGTTTTTATTTATGTGAACACCCACACATCAATATCCAAACTGGGCTCTGTTAGATGTTGAATTTTCAGAAAATTGCGTCATTCCTATAACTTTTGCGATTTAGGACATTTTTCAGCTCAGCTCATCAGTAATCCAATCGTGTTTGTTGTGATGCTGTTGCCATGGAGATTTAATGGACGAGCGAGTTCAGATTTATATGGCTGAGTTTGATTTTTTTACCTTGGTTTATAAATATAAATACCAGGGAGGAATAAATCATTCAATGCACCCGAAGAGGTTAGAGTGGTTTTTATTTTATTATTTGTTGTTGTTGTTGTTGTTGTTGGAAAGTATAAATGAAACCTGAAGGTGAAACAAGAAGTCACTTCTGCCCTGTAGGCCACTGATTTGTGAATTATTTCAGCCTCCAGAAAACAGAATGAAACCCTGGCATTCCTGTCTTTAGTAATTGTGTTAGCCTTCGAGTGTTTCACAGTCCCATGACCGCTCAACGTTAAAAATGAACGGCATCAGCACAAAACAAAAAGAAAAAAGTCATTGTGCTCTCACTGCATGTCGGGTCAGAAAACTTCATGTAGAAGATGCAACTGTTCATGTGCAGCAAACTTCTCAGCTTTGGATTATTAAAGCTTCATAACGAATAACAAAAACATGAAAGTTAACACATGGAATGGTAATTCATTTATAATTTCTATATTTTGTTTTATTTTTTTGCCTCTACATCTTATTTCTTTTTAGACAACTCCTAACTTACGTGAACCAAAATTGAAAAAAATGCTAAATTTAAATGCATTTACACTAAAATTAAGATAATACACAAAATATATTTTATGTGTATTTGTTGATGCATGAGGGCTGTTATGAGTCTGGTGGGGGGGTGACAGGGTGAGGATGGGTCTGGTGGGGGGGTG